TTCGCGTCTCCATCCAGAAGCTAGCATTCGCCTGTTAAAACACCACATTTATAGGAATATATACAAAAATATATGTAAAATTATATAAATAGAATGCAAATATAAACTCACCTCTGGACGAGACATCTTTCAATTAATATTTTCTCTCTGTCTGTTTGCGTTATTGTCCAGAAGCTAGCATTTGCTTGTTAAAACACATTTAGAAAAATATATATAGGAATATATTTAGAAATATATGAATAGAATTGAAATATGCACTTACTTATGGGTGGGATGAGTGGATTCTCCTCTGACTTGTGGGATTGCTACACTATGATATTCAATTTCCTGTTAATATTTTTTAAAATTAGAATGGTTTTGTCTTTGTTGTTGTAAGGAAAATGTTTCTTCCAAGGGAAACTTGCCTCTTAATCGTCGCCGATATCTATTTTCATTAATGTGTATTCGTATATTATTTTTACTAGTTAGTCTATTTTAAGTATATGTGATATGTAATTGTTATGTATTCTTGAATTTTTTTTATTTGTCACCCTTATTCCCAAGTTGTATTTTTGATATGCAGCAGCTGACTTAGTTGTTGCCCATCAAAAATGTGTAATGTGTTTGTGGTAAAATATCAAGATATAATTGTATAATTGATTATAAATAATGCAATTAAAATCATATTATCAAAAGTAAGATAACAATTAAATACAGTATATAATTATTTATTATAATTTTATGTTAAAATGTAAAATAAAAAATTGAATTAGAACTTATTTCAGAATTTAATAATTAATTAATAATGTTAATTAAAATTTTTAATCTGTTTTATATTTAATTTGCATGTAATTGATGAATTGATGCTCAATTATTTTGTAAAATTGCCACCTGATTAATTAGTCGATTAACTGGCATAATATGCAGAAAACTAAAAGTTTTAATCTGTTTTATATTTAATTTGCATGTAATTGATGAATTTATGCTCAATTATTTTGTAAAATTGCAACCTTATTAATTAGTCGATTAACTGGCATAATATGCAGAAAATGAAAAGCCAGAAAACCCTAACAGCACCCAAAAAGATAACTATTATTAAGTATATAGAGATAATTTTCTACTGAATGGTCTTAATGTGAGGGTCGTAAAAGCGCGTTGGAAATACGACTAATTACGAAACTTTTACGTCTGAAAGTTTCG